ACATACATACATGCATGCATAAATATGCATACATAGACCTTTATCTATATCCACATGTCTTGTGCTGATTCCTCGGCCTTTTCTGCTTGGGCCCGCCTTGGCCAAAGCGCTCAAGAGAGCGGTCGCCAAGCGAGGCTCCGACTTCCAAGCCGGAGCTGCTCCCAAAAGCGTCTGGACCTGCAAAAGCGGCGCCGACCAAACTGGAGCGTTCTTGGGTTTAGGGGGTTTCGGGGGAGTTTAGGGAAGTTGTGTAGGGGTCTGGCGGGGTCTGGCAAAGTTTGGGGTCCGTACATTAAAGATTCTACAATCTAAATCTAGGGCGCAGGGCGTAGGGTCCTTTTTACTAGTGTAGGGCAGGGCCCCATGTTTTCCGAAACTTCCAGAAGTTTCCAATGCTGCTGTCATCGCGCGCTTGCACTGAAGAACTCCAGCCTCTCCAAGCCCAGGCAAAGGCTTCAACTGCTCCAGCTGTTTCCTGAGTACTTCTGTGAAGGATTCGGTGATCGTACATGCTGAAATACAAACAGAGAAGGACTACCAGTGTCTCTTCGCAAGGCTGGCCTGCAGTCCCCAAGCAACTTGAAAAAAAGCTGTATACATTCTCCGTGTCTTGGTTTACACACTCTCCTCCCTCCGTAGCTGTCAAACCACGAAGCCAAGCTTCAGCTGCAACTTCCAATCGTTGCAACCAGGATGCATCTCGGACAGTTGCATAGTGATGGCATAGCGCACCAGGAATGCATGGTGCACACGCGGGGTGGGTTCCAGGGCGTGCTTGGGCAGTCGTCTCTTCCGGCCATGTAATTCACAGCAACCGCCTTGCTGGACTTGGAAGTGCTTCGACAACGCAATACTTCAGTCATATCTGCAACACGTCCAAGTTTGCCGCTGCTTAAGCGACCTTCTCAGTGTCAGGAGACGGCGCTTTGTCACACAATACTCATCTGAAGGCGAGCACTTCAGCCAAACCAAAACCTGTACAAGATGGCTTTCGATGCCCCGTCACCTGCTTGCCGACAGCTGCAAAGCGACCATGAATTGCAACTCATCCAGAAATGCCACGGGCCAGAAATCACGGCCCAGTCCACTGCAAGCCTCGACAGCAGCGCCAAAGCCTGAGAAACACACATCAGCTTAGATTCGACAAGCCATCCGTCGCATGACTAGCTGTTCATATACCGACCGATGATTTAGCCAACGCAGCTGTTGACATCGGGAGCCAAAGCATTGTCCATCGTCGCCAGGAGCAGGCGTACCGTCCACGCCCATTGACGGGCAGCGGCGCAGGCAGCCACCGAGCCTTTCACGCCAACTCCGTACTTCAGAAACCCCAGCCTGACGGCCCCCCCACCATCTTCGCAACCCCACACTGATTCGCCCGAACCGGAGCCTGCGAAGCTCACGCTTGTGCGAGCTGGTCCCTCAATTCTGCGCAGCAGATCCAGCGACGACGTCCTCGGCTGCAATGTTTGTTTTATCATACCCATCTCGAACCATATCAGGAATGGTCCCTGTCAGAAGACTACACTCTGACCCGCTGTAACCACGGATGCCCGTCATGCCACGGTCTCTATGAAAAACGAAGACCCTTCAAGTAAAGTGCTCGCAGCTCTCGAATCTCATTTATCAGAATGGCAACGACTGCAACAGTCTGCTGTCTGTCTCCAGCGCGGAAATTAACATCAAATGTCGATCGGCTCATATGCTTAGTGCAGGCCAAGAACCAAGCACCCGCACAGCCGCATGCACTCAAGGATGCGTTCATTCCGATCACATCCGGCTGCACCTACTGGCAAGGAGTTCATGCACGGGCATAACCACACTGAAAGTTCGACTGCCTGAAATTGCCGTGCGTTGAAGAGGAGGGCCAGTGCTGATTGCCACTGGCATGCTTTCTCACAAGTGCTGATGAGAGCATTGCAGATGACGATATTCATCTGCAGCCTCAGAATCCAACATTCAGGAAGCTAACGCTGTCACGGTTCCATTGAAGCTCAGCTTTCGAACACCAAGAATCGATGCCGAAATCATCTCCTCCAACAACAAGAAGGCAGTCTGCCAAGCGCCAGCGAACTCGCAGGCATTGAGAAGGCATCCGTAGGTCACCGTGCTGGGAAGAACCGCAACCTGCATGAGCCCAGCCAGAGAAGCTACGACGAGAGGGTCAGAACTTGACCAAGACCATGAATGGAGAAGTTCTGACATGCTCCGAAATCCTGCCTGGCGCATGGCCAACAAGAGGGACAGCGCCAGGCGCCATCGCCCGTCTCTTTCACAGGCACGCAGCAAGGAGGTAAAGCTGATGACATCCTGCGCCATTGAGAAAAGGATGAGCCAATCATCAGAACTTTTGCCCAAGCCCTTCCCGCTCCGGCAGCAATGCCAAGTCCGGCATCGAGCTCATGAGGAGTGCAGCTCGCTGCCATGGTGCGCCCAAGCCTGAGGCCTCGGGGATTTTCATCCCAGGCACCCAAAGCATAGGCATAGTCCCTTCGACTCTCTCTTGAACCTGCAGCCCGGCCACGTCCGTGGTCTGCAAGGTGGCATTGAAGCCTTGGTCACAAGTGTGCAATGCGTGGTGTCCCGCCCACAGTCAGATTTCGAGCTGCGGACAGTGGAAAGCTAACCGACGGCACAAGGCTACAAATACCCTTCATGCAACTCGAATCTTGGAAGCTGGCACACGACGTTGGGCAGCAGCGCGTCTGGCCTCATCTTGCCTTCGATGGCAGCAGGCAACGTTCTAGCTGGTATCCAAATCTATTATCTCACCAGGCGACTGAGAAGCCACATTGCCAAAACCCATTCCGCGGCAGCGATAGTCGAGGAGATCGCTACGACATCTCCGATGGAGCCTGCTAAACTGGAATGGGCTCACACGTTCAAGGCTAGGTGTAGCTGCAACTGCACAGAATGGAATAAAGCTACACATAGCAGCTTCGCCTCCAAGCAGATGCAGAGCAATGGACCACACGCCTCGAGGACCTCTGGCGACTTTCTTTGTGTGACTTGTTGAGCTTCCGGTAAACATGGCGACAAGGCGCAGGAACTTATCGCCGTGTTGATGGCCACTGCATCAGGCGTCAAGGACATGGCAGCACGCACTTGCCTCGGAATCCGAAGAGAATCAGCAAGGCACGCGGTACAGAATGCAGATGCTGTGCACCGTCGCCTGTCATTATTTCACAGCTGCCGTGTTGCAAATGCGACAGCGCTAGCCACCACCGGCCATGCGGCTCAAAAGCTGTCATGGCGCAGTTCATGAGTACGGTGTCCTGAGAGTGGCAGCACAAGGGTCCCCAAGATGCTGCTACCCCATTTCCATTTCCGATCTGGCAGTCCCAGTACCTGCAGAACTGAACGCCGAGTCTCACGCTGAACCGACTCACCCAGAAGCTGCACCGCAGACAGCCAGTCGGCAGGTGCGCAGACCTTCACCACGCGTGTCTTGAATATCGCCTCTGGCAAGGCCACACATGGAAGCTGCGTCCAACTCAGGACCTGAGCTACTCAACTGAGGCTTGCGCATTTGGCGAAATATCTGTGGTTGCTGCGGCTGCAAGCAGCCACAGAGCTTCGCACCAATCCGAAGAAATCATGCAAGAGAAATGCACCCTCGGAAGCTTCAGCATGGGAGAACACCGGTGCCCCCAAACCCAGCTGACCGTACGATATTAAACTCCCCGTCCAAGCAGCACATCCGCCTCCATCTGCTCCTCACGCAACTGGCGCAGCAGGCTCCAAGACGTACCTCCTGCTGCCAGCGAGCGCAGCACCTCTCCAAAGGGAAGCATGGCAGTTTCCAGGCGGCTGATATGATGCGACGAAAGAAGCATCGCGCAACGGAGGCCAAACGCAGATGTGACAACAAGTCACGTGTCCTTCGCAACCTGTTCTTTAACAACCCCGAAACAAACCAAGGCAAGTAAGCCGAGGCACTGCCGATGCAAGTCTTGGTTGTCTTGCCAAGGCTGATACGGGAATATCAGCCTCGTCCTAGGCCAACGGACCAACGAAGCCGAGGAACCCGAATGTCTTAAACACCAGATGCCGCCAAGCATCAAAGCCTCTGTGCATGCCACTGATTACATAGCCTCTTCATGTGGCTGATTAAAGAGCGCAAGCATCGGCCAGCTGCAAATGGCAGGTCGAATCATGTCGATCGTAGGCTTCTAGCTGCGCGATATCGCACAGCAGTCAGAAGCCGCCAATGTGGCCCTTCACCGTGCCACTGCCCTTCCAACAGGGCATCGGACCCCTGCCCGATGAAAAGGCGAGAGCTCTCCAGAAGAACCCGTCGACATGACCGATCTCACATTCGATTGGAACCCTTGAGCCGTCACACACATGCGAAGCTACCTGGCTCGGGAGGCAACGAGCGCCATGCATCAACTTGACACCAGTTACTGCAGAGGCTACCTGGACAGAAGCACCACTCGTTGCTGAGATATTGCTCAGCGCCGCACCAAAGCCTGTGGAAGTGGTCCTGTGCGTTTCTTGAGCAGGACGCCTGCAAACAGCGGCGCGACAAGCTGCCATACATGCTTGTTGGCAACCCTGTACTGGGAATCTCTTCTATTTCGGGTTCAGTGGACAGGCATGTGCAGCCTCATCTTTGAAAAATCGCCAGGAAGTTCTGTGCAAAACATAGTTTCATGACTGTGGAAGCCAAGAGCAGAAGGATGAATCTGGAAGGTTTGTGCGTATCCCACAATCCCACAAGACCCGCTTTCGTCGCAGAGCATGCGTGAACTTTCGCAAGGTCGAAACTTCCAGAAAAGCCATTCTGACGAAATTGGACGACGCACCTATCAAAAACATGATGAGCACATGAAATCAACACGGTCACTCAACGTCATCTTCTCCAGCAGATGTAAGAAAAACACAACGGAGCCACACAACCATTTTTCGTGCGCACGAAGTTCTGCATCATAACCGGACGTATTGAAGGTGGATGGTAGGAAAAAATTCAAGCCGCACTGCCTTGACAACGCACGCAACGAGCAAATTATGAACATTTTAAGCACAGCATTCAAGGTAACCATAACTGTACTTGTTGGGACGTAGGCCCAAAAAAAATGGACATTGGAGAATATATAATTGTTCATACAGAGTTGCGAAACCAGCTCGATATGAAAATTCTAGTTAAGCTTGCATTGCTCTGGCACTCAGCTCGCACTTGACCGTGTTGGTCTGTGAAAGGCCATGCAGCTAGTCGGAGGGGATCTTCGTAGCGAAAGCATTGGCAAAAACTTTTGTGAGACCGTAGTGAGAATGTGGTAATTAGTGTGTGCCACTACTTAAATTCCGCTTTTCAGGTTAGCTGTTAGGCTTAGACGAAGGTGAAAGCAGGCTGCTGCGCGATTTGCGCGATGATGCGCATGCAAGATGGCAAGTGCTTCTTGGAGCAAGGGTTGGGGTACGAGACTTTCCGAGAACCAAAATTTTCGAATGGTTTCGGACTCAAGACGGTGTTCCGCAGCGCATAAAGGAAGAGCAGTGGCCAGCAGACAATGATCCAAAATGTTGGAAACATACATGTTTGCAACGTTCTCGAATGTTAAATTCGAACTCTAGACTTGCGTAAACTTGAAAGGAAGCAGAAAAAACACCACAGAAAGTCGTTCTCAGTTGCGCACGAGAAAAAACCAACAAAGTTTCGTCTTTCTTGAAAGTGATCACATATCAATCATCTGGAGACTTGTTGTTTCACAGGCAAAAAGCAGCGAAGCCCGCTCTTTTTCTCGCAATGTCGAAAAGCATTCTATGCTTTGCTGAGATGTCCTCCACCAGTGGTGAAAGACCATGCGATGCAAGGCTGACAAAAGCGTTCCTGTTGTGATGCGAAAAAGTCGCTGCAGGAAGTGCAAAGTTGAGCAACGCAAAGCTTTCCAGCGCAGTGCTTTGCTGGCATGCCGTTTTTCCCCACGAAGCTTTGCATATTGTGTATTCGACAAACTCGCGATTCAAAGTAACTCCAATCTTCATGAACAAATGTATACATATCAGAAACGAGAAAGCTCGTTCTTTTTGCCTTCCGGCGTGCCCAAGAAATCGGAGATCTTGAAGGCCACGGACTGGTCAGAGCAAAACTTGTCTTCTGGACGCCCAAAAGTGTAATTAGGAAGGACTTCGAAGGTTGTAGACCATGTACCTGCTGTGGAGGTCCCCACATGAGTTTGCTTTTTGCTTCTTGCAGTCACACTTCGCACGTGTACGTGTCTAAACTTGGCGAAGTCCGAGGCGTCCGTTTCAGCAATGAAATACACATTTGAAGGGACGCCTGGGACTCACCTCTTCACCATGGAGTTCATGTCTCGCTAGAGATTCTACGGGGGGCGGAGTGGTGCAAGACCTGTCTGGAGCTCTGACATCAAACCCTCTGGGCTCAAGGTGCGAAGCCAAAGGTCAAAAACAGGATGTCTGCTTACGTTTCGATTCTTTCTTGGCGGTTTTGTTGTTGTCACCACAAGAACCAATTGTTTTGCAAGATGGTCAAATGGAGCAGCGTGCAACCTGAAACTGGAACGGAGTGGCTTGGAGACAGCCCGCAGCCGGATCAAAATTGGTTGGTTTGTTAGCTTGGAAAGTTGATTGGGTTTGAGCTTGCTTGCCCAAGCGACCACTTTCCTCGAAACCATCGAAAATCTTGTTTGGACGGAATCAGAACCAAACTGGTAGCTACCGAGAACCGTTACAAAGGTGCTACGCGCTCCAAATCTCTTTGCGAACTCCTAGATTCTGGCGTACCACATCGCAAAACAAATGCGGCACCAATATGGCCAGGATTTCAAAGCAGCTCGATGTATTTGCGCAGCCGCACTTTGTTTTGTTAGACATTTTGGGCGAAATCGAGAACGAACCGGACTTGCGAGCTTGGTGCCAAACTTTGCAAAGTTGGTTCTCCAAGGAGACGAGAGAACAGTTCCTGATGCAAGGAACCCCAGATGCTTTTCTGCCTCTTCCGTTTTAAGCATTTTTTTTTTTTAAACTCCCTAAACCCTAAACCCT